GCTGATTGGCTGTTCAGGGGGCACCTGGGTTTTGTAGGCAATGCCAGCAGGCGGATCGGGTTGCAATGTGGGGCCGTGCAGAGATGCCGCACTCCCCTGGCCTTTCGCTCGCAGGCCCTGCCCGTGCCAAGCAAGGGCCCTGGCGCCTTCACCCACAGCAGGGGCCTGGCCTGGCGTCCATCCCAGCAGGCTTTGGGGTAGGGGAGCAAACAGCTGAGGGGAGACCAGAGAGGACCATGCCCATGTGCAGAGGGAACCCCTCACCCCCGTTAGCACAGACACCTTGGAGCTCCAGCGGCCCACTAGGTGGAGCAGGTAGAAATCAAGCCTGTCCAGGCATTTCTACCCATGTTGGGGGTCCAAGCACCTGGCTGCAGGGCAGAGGACATGTACTGAGTCCCTCCATCAAGGATTGAGGGGCTAAATCCACCCCCAATACGTCCCCAATCTTTCCTGGCTCTAGAGGGAACCGTCATATAGGGCAGGTGGGAATCCCACCTGCAAGTCCCACCCCAGCTTGCCTATGGGCCCCGATCCCGTTCTGTGGAGAAGACCTGGAGTAGGGGGTTTGGATGGAACGGCTCTGAAGCAAACGTTTAGCTCCTAGTAATTCCCAGCCCCCACCCCCTCCTCTGGCACCGCTCGGGGCTCATAAGGCCTGAAAGATTTCCATTAGCTGCCTTGGCATTGCCTCTGCCATTCTCCTGCCAGCTTCAAGTCCATTCCCGGATGCCAGCAGCACCCACGGCCGTGCCGGCCCTCGCTGACTCTGGCAACGGTGCCAGCTTGGAAGGCAGAGGCCCTTTCGCAAGCGTCACCTCGGCAAGTGGCCAATGAACTAAAAAAATTATTACTTAACTTACAGTAGCATGTAGAGACCCTGACGGAGACCAGATCCCCACCGTGCGAGGAGCTGTACACACACTGAGATCAGATCCCAGAAATGCTAGGAGCTGTACACACACTGAGATCAGATCCCCACCATGCTAGGAGCTGTACACACACAGAGATCAGATCCCAGAAATGCTAGGAGCTGTACGCACTGAGATCAGATCCCCACCGTGCTAGGAGCTGTACGCACACTGAGATCAGATCCCCACCATGCTAGGAGCTGTACACACACAGAGATCAGATCCCAGCCGTGCTAGGAGCTGTACGCACTGAGATCAGATCCCCACCGTGCTAGGAGCTGTACACACACAGAGATCAGATCCCAGAAATGTTAGGAGCTGTACGCACACACAGATCAGATCCCCACCATGCTATGAGCTGTACACACACTGAGATCAGAGGCCCAGCATGCTAGGAGCTGTACGCACACAGAGATCAGATCCTCACTGTGCTAGGAGCTGTACGCACACAGAGATCCAATCCCCAACGTGTTAGGAGCTGTACGCATACAGAGATCAGATGCCCACCGTGCTAGGAGCTGTACGCACACACACAGATCAAATGTCCACCGTGCTAGGAGCTGTACGCACACACAGATCAGATCCC